TTCCTGAGACTACCAATCGGATGAAATATCTACTCAACTGGTAATTATACTGGTTTCATTTAATTAATTTAAATTAATTAAAATTTACTAATAGCATGATATATGACTGGATAAATCACGGTCAGATTTCCATATTAAGAAATCTTAGTTAACTCAAGAATATATAGTTATAACCATTCCATTCTGCAGGTGGAATTAAGAATAATTATATATTGATGTGATAGTATCACATGTTAGCATACCGCTGTTTTTATCCAGGTGTATTGATTTGCTCTAATATAAGATAAGATATCTTTTAGACAAATTAAAAATCTGCTTATAAAATCTGGTAGATTCTCTTATTGGATGGTTCCAGGAAATGACTAATGAACTGGTTTAAATGTTATTTTATTTAAAATTACATAAGAATAGATCTTAATTACTTAGGAGGATCTAGCCAGCATTGAAAGGGTTATTCAGTTGATCTAACTGTAAGGCAGGGTTTTATGGCCCTTCGCTGTGAAAAGCTTCGCTTTCTCTCTGTGAAAGAGAGTCATAAATCGTGTAAGTCTTGACAGAAAATGCTGTTTAGCCATTGAAACGTGTATACCCATTCCTTTGTATTGCATACCATTTTATACTGGATATTCATTGATTATTGTCATGCATGTTGCATAATATTATTGTTAATTATTGGTTATTATAAAATAAAATCTATTTTTATAACAAAATTGTGATTTTATTTATATGAAATACTTTCCACTTAACACGATAACGATCTTTGGGATCTGAGAGTTGAATTAGTGGGCAATTCTCACTGTTTACTATTATTATCTCATAAATATCCCCACAAGACTACAGGCTACACCCCTTCCAAGCATCTTCAATTTCAAAGGGTATAAGAAGCAACACTTTACTTTTACTACACTCATGATAGTACTAACTACACTACTATAAAATTTATAAAATGTGCTACCCTACAGCCGCAATGTTATCTGTTATGTTCATTAGCATGTCTTTTATTGCTGTTGTGGCGAGATCTGCTGTACTGTTATAACTGCACGTCCAAAATTAAGAATTTAAAAAAAAACAAAAAAAAACTGAATAGGACAACCTCATAGCCGAAGGGAAGAATCTGGAGATTTTTAATAAAAAGGAATATACATTCCTCAATGTAGCACACCCCAAGATACCGCTGTATACGTTTTTATAGAGCCTTTTATGTGGGTAAACATTTCTGCTTCCATGCGTTTAAGGTAGGCAACTGTGCCCTATTTGTATAGTTCACTCCCCTTTATTCCTCACAGCAGGACATGCAAAGGAAAATAAACACTGGATGCAGTATTATGGATTTTAGTATAAATAACAATTAAAGACCTTTTGTAGACCCTTTTAGTAATTGGCTCTAAGTTTGTAGACTTTGTGTCAATTTGCAGGGTGAAACTACCCTTACCAGATTCAAGGTGCAAATTGGAGATGAAGATGGGTAGGTATATACACTTTATTAAATTAAAACTATCAACACAGAATATATAAAATAATAAAAAAAACAAGAGCAATATATAACAGTTCTCTCGCTCTTCTTTACCAAAATGCATTTTGCCCTCACGTTCGGCTTTTTCAATTGGTATGTTATCCCCTTGCTCGTTGCCCGGTCTTCAGACGTTTGGAAATCACGCCTTTCTCCCTCATTATACAATCCTACGTTAGTGACTCAGGTGATCTCCTTTGTGTTCATGATTTGCCGTTGCGTCACTTCCAGAACCAACATTCCCGAGATGCAGTTCTCTTTTGGTAGGTCCGTCCTTATTTCAGGTTTTTCAAACTACTATACCCATAGTCCATCGAGTTGGTAGTTATGTTCCGTGATTTTTATAAAGTCCTGTATATTGCATGTTTAACTCATACAAAAAAAACCCCAGAAAATCTGAAGAAGAAAAAAAGGAAAATTTAACTCTTAAATTTCTATTGTGCCTGTCTGCCTTTTCCGGTCAAGACATGGTAAACATCCCTGTTATGCACAGCCTCAACCTAAAGTGAAAATACCAATAATAATTGTGTTGATAGGGAGGCAACTGGTTTTTAACACCACTGAACATGTATGCTGGAGGCAGTGGTAGTTTAGGATGTTACGGTGGCTAAATTTTTTTAAATAAAACAATGTATTACATACTAAAATGTACTTATGTTAGAAGTGCTATAGTAGCATCACTGGGACAGGAGTTGCAAAAAAATAAATAAAAAATTAGAGCTGACAACGTATAATATGGTTACAAATACAAAAATATGCATGGGTTAACATAGTGTAGCAAGTAGAAATACAATACTGCCAGGCCCTTTTATGCCAGCCTTACAATCGATACCGTTGTTGTTCACTTATGCGGTTTCCTATGTCCTAAATAATCTGCTAGTTGAGAATGAGGTACATAGCGAATTCTAAATTTATGGGTAGAGGATTCTAAAAAGTATAAGGGCTAAGACAACTGAATCAGGTTTCACAGTGCTGTGTAGGGATATGGCCTTCTGCAGATGAGAATCAATCATAAAACAGTAAGTGTTTCAAACACACAGAAAGTGACAATATGGGAGATTCGATTTACAATAAGAGAACATGTAGTAATGAGAATAATGGCTGGGTGTAATTTATCAAGTTTTAGGGTATAATAGAGAAAATTTATTGATACTTACCGTAATTTTCTTTTCCTGGCTATTATTCATGGCAGCATTTAACATATGGGTTTAGCTGCTCCCTCCAACCCTCAGGACAGGAAACAATCAATTAAACAATTAAGCCTACCTTCCCCTAGTATATTAGGTACCCCAGTATCCCCCACACCTCAGTCCAGTAACAAGACAAATTAACCAAGAAAGGGTGGGAGACCAAATGCTGCCATGAATAATAGCCAGGAAAAGAAAATTACGGTAAGTATCAATAAATTTTCTCTATTCCTGGCTAATCATGGCAGCATTTAACATATGGGATTCCCAAAGCAATAACCACTCAGGGAGGGTAAGTCATGCTACAAAAACTGTTTAATATCCACTTAAGGCTTATAAGAGTTCAGGACCGATAGGCCAAACTCTGAATCAGAACGAGATGAGATATCCACTCTGTAGTGGTGTACAAAGGTTTTTAAAGATGACCAATTGGCAGCTTTACAGATGCTCTCTGCAGGAACTCCTGACTCTGCAGCCCATGAAGTAGCAATGGACCTCGTGGAATGTGCCTTGATGTCCTTGGGAACTGGAATCCGTTTAGCTCTGTAAGCTTTAGAAATAGCCTGAACAGTCCAAGAACGAAGGGTTGCGACAGAGGCAGCTTCACTTTTACAAGAACCCCAAGGTATCACAAACAATTGGGGAGACTTTCTCCAATTAGCTGAGCGTGAAATATATGTGGAAAGACACCTCCTTAGGTCTAGCGTATGACATCTTTCTTCCTCAGGAGACGATGGCTCCTGAAAATACCCTGGCAGGACAATCTCTTGATTCAGATGGAAGGATGTAACAACCTTAGGAAGGAACTCAGGTCTGGGCCGTAGCACAACTCTATCATCGAAGAAGGTAGTGAACGGTTCTTCCGACGACAGCACTCTAATATCAGACATTCTCCTAGCAGATACCAAGGCCAGTAACAACAGGGTCTTTAGAGAAAGAACCTGCATAGGGACGTTCCGTCAAGGCCTGCAGAACCAGAGGCAAATTCCAGGGAGAAGAAAATACCTTGATAGGAGGTCTAATCCTAATGACTGCTTTGAAGAAGCGAATTACAATAGGATTCAATGCCCAACGAACACCGGAAAGAGCTGAAAGAGCAGAGCAGTGCACTTTAAGCGTGTTAAGTTGAAGGCCCCTCTCCAGGCCTGAGATACGGAAGGGGAACCTAAATCTTGAACCGTGGAATTACACCATCGAGCAAAGGCTTCCCATACATTATGGTAAGTAGAAGAAGTTGCAGGATTCCTGGAACGTAACAGGGTAGAGATAACCTGGTCCGAAAGGCCATGTTCAACTAGAGACTTCCTCTCAATAGCCGTGCATGGAGCCTGAATTTGTGAGGCTCCGGATGAAACACTGGACCCTGAATCAGCAGGTCTTCCGAGACTGGAAGTTCCCAAGGCAGGTCCATTGATAACCTCTGTAACAGGGGAAACCAAGGGCGACGAAGCCAGAATGGAAGTACAGCTATCACCTTGCAATGTTCCTTGGAGATCTTTCTCAGAACAGCGTGGATGAGGGGAATTGGAGGAAAAACGTAAGCCAGATCGAATACCCAATTGATGGATAGAGCATCCTGACCAACCGCCTTTGGATGGTATCTCCTCGACACAAAGCATGGAACCTGTGCATTCCGAATGGTCGCCATGAGGTCTACTTGGGGAAGACCCCACTTCTGGACCAACCGAGCGAAGATCCTCCTGGAAAGTTGCCATTCTGAAGCCTCTATCCGATGTCTGCTGAGGAAATCCGCTAATACATTCTCCTTCCCTGGGAGATAGATGGCACACAGGCCTTCCACATGATTCTGAGCCCAGGTCATAATGGGAAACATCTCTTTCATCAGGGCTACACTCCTTGTTCCGCCTTGATGGTTTATGTAAGCAGCAGCCGCTTTGTTGTCCACTCTCAACTTGACCCAGCAATGCCTGATGAGATGCTGAAAATGAAGAAGCGCCAGAAAGGTTGCTCTTAGCTCCCTGATGTTGGAAGGCAAGCATTGGGTTCTTGGAGGCCATTTTGCTTGAAAAAATTGATTGCCTAAATGTGCCCCCCAACCTGTCAGACTGGCATCTGTCGTAATGACCACCCAATCTATTTCCCGCAAGGGGAACCCTCTGGAGAGATTTTCCCACGACATCCACCAGAGGAGCTTCCGCTTCAGAACCAAAAGAATGCGAATCAGCGTCTCCCACTCCCTCGAGTCAGTCCTGAAATTTTTTAGAAAAAAAGGTTCCACTGAGCCCACCTGACAAGTTCTATTGTAGAGGAAAGAGTCCCCAGAAGTCTCATAAACTCTCTTGCCGAGGCTGAAGTCTTCAGTCTGAAGTCCCTTATCCGATCTCGAAGTATGATCTTTCTGTCGTGTGAGAGGGATACAATTGCCATGTCTGTATTGAAATTTGCTCCCAGGAATATCAGTTCTCTTGAAGGATGCAAGTGACTCTTCTCGTAATTGATGAGCCAACCGAAATGAGATAGAGTGTCGAGGACTAGTTGTCTGTGTTGGAATATTGATGCTAGGTCCGGGGCCACTACCAGGATGTCGCCCAGGTAGTGAAACACCGCTACACCTTCTTTTCTGAGCAAAGCAATGATGGTGACCAGAACCTTCGAGAAGGTCCTCGGGGCCGTACTTATACCAAAAGGAAGGGCCTGAAATTGAAAGTGTTCCTTTCGGACACAAAACCTGAGAAACCTTTGATGGGTGATCGTGATAGGAACATGAAAATATGCATCCCTGAGATCTACTGATATCATCCAATCTCGGTGATGAACAACCGGAATGATGGAGCGAATGGATTCCATGCGAAGTTGTCTGACTCTCAGATAAAGGTTGAGCTGGTGGAGATCTAAGATAGGCCTCCATTTTCCCTCCGGCTTCTTGACCAAAAACAGGGGAGAATAATATCCCTGGAATCTTTCTCTTTTGGGTACAGGTATGATGGCTTCTTCCATAAGAAGATTGTTGACATAAAGAGTCAAAACCTCTCGTTTTTGGATGTTGACTGGAAGCCTTGTGCGAATAAATCTTGGTGGAGGTGGATATTCGTCGAATTCCAGATGATAACCTCCGGTGATAATGGATCTTACCCAAGCATCTGGAATTATTTCCTAGGCCCTCTGAAAGAATGAAAGACGTGCTCCCACTCGAGGAACCTGGAGTAAGCCACCTTCAGAATTGCTTGTTGGGGCGAAAGGAAGAGGTCTGCGTCTTGCCCCTAGAGGATTTTCCATTCAGGCCGCTCTTCCAATTGGAATTCCTTGAGAATTCTCTACCTGGCCTGTAAGTCTTACTTTCCCTAAAGTAGCCTTGATCCCTAAAAGGTCTACGGTCCAGACGAGGTCTCTTTGGACGCCTATCTTGTGGCAGTATGACCTGTTTAACCTCGGCCGCCTTTTTAATCGCTTCATCCAGAGGTTTCCCAAAAAGCACTTCTCCCATAAAGGGAAGTGAGCATAAATTATTCTTGGATGACAGGTCTGCCCCCCAGGATCTCAGCCAAAGCGCCCTTCTAGCGGTGACTGAATGTGCCATAACCTTAGATAGAATTCTAATGAGGTCAGTGGAGGATTCCAAAAGCCAGTCACTGGCGAGTTTGATATCCCTTAAGGATTCCGCCATCTGACGTCTACTGACACCTTTATCTATGTCATCCTCCAAGTCAAGCAACCAGGAACGCATGACTCTAGACAAAGCCGAAATGGACACAGCTGGATGGCAACCTAAACCCGCTGTCAAGAAAGCTTTAGATAAATCAGCATCAATCCTTTTATCCATGGGCTCCTTAAGGGAGGCATTGCTATCAATTGGTAGCGTGGATCTTTTAGCAACCTTAATGATAGGAGCATCAACTTTGGGGACCGTAGTCCACAATCTGGAATCCTCCTCTTTAATCGGGTATAACTTCGAAAGCCGACCCTGACTAGTAATCCTCTTACTAGGAATTTGCCACTTGTTCCTCATCAGGTCTTTAATAGAGCTGTGGACTGGAAAGGAAGGTCTTTTCTTATGTAAATCTCCAAAGTGTCTGTCAGAAGCTGAACATTCTCTGGTTTCTTCCGGCAAATCCAATGTTCTTCTAACAGCCATAATCAAATGCTCCATAGCTTTGGAGTCCAAGGAGCAAGGTTGTTCCATATACTCCTCTTCACTGGACGAGATTGGTTCCAAATCCAGGTAAGATGAAGTTTGTCTGTATTCATCGTCAGACTGATCTGAATCCATGCCGAAATTTTCCCCTCTTGATCTCTTGATCTTGTGGGATTCAGCAATTCCCTCAACCACTGCCTGCTTAATCCAATAAGCAAGATCCTTGGCTGAGGAGGTAGAGGCTTGCGGTGACCTTTGGCGATCAGATTCTCCTGCGACCATGGTTAAGCATTTTCTGCAGAGCCTGCAGTTATCCAAAGGCCTTGCTCCACATCCAGGGCAGGCTGCCGGTTTCTCCCTTCTCCTCGATGGGGATCTGGGACAGGACCGGTCACGAGGGCTGTAAGATACAGAAGTCATAAGACTGTACCCTCTGTGCACTCTTTTTAGTAACGTGAAGAAACCAAGAAAAAATATTGCTCACCTATGACCTATAGCAGATCTCGTTGATCTTGCAGAAGGGGATGAAGGATCCATACTGACTGTAGGGCTAAGAATGTTAAAATAATAAGAAATGTATTCCCAGCCCAATATTATGATATTTTAAAATATAAGTAATTCTCTTACCTGCAGAGCTTTAAGAACAGTCTACTAGAGCACTGTATCTTTAAAGGGAATGGAAACGAGCGTTTTTTAGGCTAAATACCGCCATTTCAAATTTCCCGCTCTGTACCTTTAAATGATCGCACATGCGCACTTCGGTCGCGAGATCGCTAAACCGCCATTTTGGAAAGGGGCAAACTTCACTCTGGGTCCGGTCGGACGCATTGCGCATGCGCCAGCGTCTTACCGTTATGCTGATCGTCTGATCGAGGTCTGCAGCACACACTGGACGGCAGAGGATTCCCACAGCCTGTGGAACTAACCACCCAGGCTCCCAGCTCCATGGAGATTGGGCTACATGTGCCTGGGCTTCCTGAGGAGGGAGGCTGACCTCCAAAGGGACAAGACCATATCAAACATGGTCAGGTGAGCAGAAAAAAACAAAAAAAAAAAAACATTCAGAAGAAACTGAGAAAAAATAAATAAATATATTAAACTGCCCTAGGGCTAGGAGGACAGGAAAAGACTGAGGTGTGGGGGATACTGGGGTACCTAATATACTAGGGGAAGGTAGGCTTAATTGATTGTGTTTCCTGTCCTGAGGGTTGGAGGGAGGAGCTAAACCCATATGTTAAATGCTGCCATGATTAGCCAGGAAAGAAAGTTTTATGGGTCTATCGTTTGAACAGGGTCCTTTTCAACCTATCGTTCCTGTAAGTTTTCTTGCAATTGTCAAATCCCCCCCTCTCATAATATTGTAAAGAGCTACGGAATCTGTTGGCACTATATAAATGGCAATATTAATAATGTATGAGGAACAATGGTAACTGACATAGCAAGTGGAGCTGATGTAACAGATTTTAAGCAGTATGGAAAGAGATCCCCTGGTTTTGGGAGCCTCACCATATTGGCCTTAATCATCTCATATGACAACTGACTAAATTTTGCACAATTAAAAATAAGGAGATTTAAAGTATATGATAGAGAATCTCAGGCCTCAGTGTCCTATTGGGACATTTATATTTAAAGTCCAAAAACATTCTTTCCAGTTAGATTGTTTGTTCGGTCATATGGTAGCAGTGAAAGTGCATCAACCCCTCCTCAATTTTGCATAGAATCCTGGACCAGAATGGGGCCCTTGTATAAGATTTAGTTTTTTTTTTTTTCATTAAAAAAATATCAGCACACATTCATATTTACATCAATATTGTAAATTTCTTCAAGGTCTGTCGAATAAAATGACACTACAGAATACCTGGTTTTTGTTTTTTTATGATGCTTAGTTGTGACTATAAATTAGAACTAAAAGTTCCCCCCTCACATTTTACTTTTTCTGGAATTAGTGCCCAAAACTCATGGTTGTATTCAATTTTATCTTACTCTTCAATCTTGTGACGTGAAGAGTTTATTAAAAAGTGGAGGAGGTGGTTTATCTAATACAGGGAATGAAAGGAACCCACACAGCTTAGCCCAGGAGAACTAGCAGAAGTTACTGCTTAGAAACTTCCAGCTCTTTGGCATTGGTAATGGAGGCAGGGAGCAGTGCCTGGCAGACCACGGTTTATGTCACCCCGTTCAAAAACGGTTTCACTTCTTACAATAGGAGGCACTAATGGTATCATAACCACTACAATAAGCTGTAACAAATATGGTGATTGAAGTGCACCTTTAAAAAAATATTCTGGCGACACACCCTAACTGCCAACCCTTATACCCTCCCCCCCCCCCGTTTTGGGGAAGGTTCCCCCTCGACCACCACCCCTAGCACCACTACTTTTCCCCAGCACAGGACCAACAGGCTTCAGAACTTTCTTCCCTTTCTTCTCTGTGACAAACACACCCCGAAACACACGAAACCATGCGAGGACAGAAGAATACATAGCAGGTCACAGTTTAACTCCGCGAAACCTTACAACTGTAGACAACTGACGTCCTGGAACTAGCTAACGATGGTATAGCCACAAAGACGAATTGCCACCGGGAATGGTGGGCAGAGCGGAGAGACAGGAAAACAGGGATACTGAAGTAGACCGCACCATCGACACCCATACGGTAGCATAACAGCCCCCCAGGGCCTATACGGGGGTACACCTAAGCAAACATATACACCCCTCCCCATACACCAGAGTTTCGCAACACAGAAGCGACAGAGACCGTTACTGAACAACCTATCTGACTCCAGCATGTGTCATCCTTGCATATGTAACGGGTAACTGTGTGATTGTAACCGCAAAGACCAAAATGAAAGGGAAGGATGGGACTGTATCAATGTATAACTGTGCAATACCTTTCTTTACCCCGCCACAATTTCTTTTCTGTATCCCATCTCCCGCATTCTGTATACCACATTGTATTGAACAAAATAAACCACAAATAAAGAATTATAAAAAATAAAAATATTCTGAAAGATTGACACACTACTGCTGAATTATTTTCATCTTGGCCCTGTATTTAAATTATAACCTATAGGTCAGCAAAACAAGGACAAAGTAAACAAGTCATCCATAATCCCTTGTTTATTTGAATTTGGTCACAAAAATACCTAAACCATTACAGTGGACTTAGTAATGTATGGATTTCATAAACATTTCATTTCAGTTTTATGCACAGGCATAAAAATAAATGTAATAACTTTATCAAAACAGATGTAGATGAAATTTCAAATTCCTTAGACAATGTTTACAAAACCTTTTTTTATACAAAGAGCAAGGTTACACTTATTGGAAAAAATAAAATCATTCAGAACCCACATGGGTATTTTGGATCATTAAAGGGGGAGGGGACAATTTTCCCCTCCTCAGGACTTGTGTAATCGTTTCTTCCCGAGCACACACAAAAAATAAAAAAAACACAAAAAAAAAAAACACAAAAAAAACACCCTTATAAAATCGAATTCTCTGGGAGAACGTTAGACACCCTTTTAACTTGAATTTAAGAGCATTTTGCTTTCCAACAGTGAATCTGCTTGTATGCAATAACTTTACTATCCCAGAAAAGCCTCTGTAGAAGTGTGGCAACTAGGTGTGGCAGAAAGATCAGTAGAGGCTCCAGATAAGTGAACACACAAAAACCCCAAACAAAAAAAAAAACAAAAAAACAGCATTGCTTTGGCTCAATGTGTGTAACATCTTTGTGCCTTAATCTCACAGACAAATCTTGTATTTTTTTTCTCTTTAAGTTTTCAGTTACAAGGCATCGAGAATGTTATCTATTTTGTTAACCAGCTCTTGCCGTCTGTTTGCATGCTGCTTTTCGTTCTCTATGTAGCTGTCTTTCTTCAGCTTTCCAGCAACCAGACGTTCAGCTTCTACAGATGATTTTAGCACAATTTCCTTAACTTGAGTGTCCAGCTTCTGAATCTCCGCTACCTATGGAACAAGAACAAGGTAAGGAAATGTGTTATTTATATGCATGTAATGAACACTTCCACCTGTGTTTCTGATGTGATTTCATTTTTAATAGACACTAGTGGCCAAAAGTTTGAAAAGATTTTGTAAATTTGTATATATGAGGTTTGATGACTTAGAACAATCTTTTATTTAGAAAAATACTTGTATGTTAAAATGATAATTGAATGGAGAATGTAATTCAACTTTAAAAAATATATATTTTAGTTATGCACAGAAAACCCTGGTAATGTGTATTTCATAATGTCTACCAGTTTCTGGCAGTACAGAGTATGGAGGATCTCCATCTCCATCCACCAGTTTCTCTTACAATATAAAAAAAAAACAAAAAAAAAAAACAGACCTATTCCTAATTAAAAATGTTTAGGGACAGCGTCAAATCCATGTGTCTAGTCTGGGGCCCCACCAACTTGAAGTGTCACCAGCCACCACTTGTACTCTGTAACCTTTTGCCACAATTACAGCCTTAATACGGGATCCGATTTAATATATCTAGCATATTCGTTCATCAATCAAATGCTTTTTCGACTGCTTCACAGGTTTCTTTAATCACAGATTTCCTATTGAAATCAGATCTGGGCTATTACTGGCTATTCTAGCAATGTTATACTTTATTTCCTGAAAGTACTTTTTGCGCACATCTGCAAAATGCCAACCTATTTTTTTGGCTGTAACTTTTGATAGAATAAAGATAATTTAACAAAGTTTGTTGCATTAAATTCTGTCAACAGGAATTTTCTAGTGATATGTAATTTGATGACATTGTTCACTCTCCTAGAGTAGAACAGGCTATAAGAACTACAGCCAAGATGATGTGGTATGCTACGACAGACATGTCTTACTTTATCACACAAGTCAGAGCCTTCAGCCTTAAGTTTGGACTGTAAAGAGGCAATCTCGTTTGTTAGGTTTTTGTGTTCCGTCTCCAGCGTTTTCTTGGCACTGTTCACTGTGGAGATATCTCGAGTCTGTTTGTATTTATTGACAGCTTCATCAAAATGGCGGTACAGTCCAAGTCGCTTGTTGACCAGGGTCAGAATCTGTTCTGTAATGCAGGCAGCCTTCATTCTAGCTTCAGCAGCAGGATCCTAAAACACATGAAAAGCTTTGAGAAGGCAATGACCTAGCATAATTGTACATATACAAAACGACTAAAGACCACTCAGTAAATCTTCCTTTGTGCCATATAATTGCTTTTATACTGCACTCACCCTATGGGAGGGGGGAGGGGGAGAGAAAAATAGTATAGTTAAAAAAAAAAAAAAAAAAACTTATACATGTGAGGGTGCCACTATCACAAGTGTGATTTTAGATTTACCATTCAGACAGTAGAATATGGCATGGAATAGAAACATAAGAAAAAGAATACATAGTGAAAGTATTGAATAACACAAAAAAAGAAAAAATAACAGATACACTCACAAATTGAGGGACACAAAGAGAAATATATCTATTTGTGCAAATAAGCTTTTTAGCCACTAATAGGCTAAGTCCCCATAAAGTTGATGTCAGCCAATGGTACCTCAGGATGTCAATCTAACGCTGTTCTCACCAGTCCTCAGAAACAAAATATACTGGAAACAGGATAATGTCCTTCAAAGTTGTGCAAGTATGATTTACCACTAGCATATTGTATATACTGTATTACTATTTGTGTCTCTACCTTTTCAGCTAAATAAGCCTAGTGACACATCTTCCCTCCATCTCTCTGGGGCTCTCTACCTTTAATTACAAACTTTGGTTAGGGCAGGACTATTTCAGCCAGATATACGCAGAGGATAGTCTACAAACCTGCTCAGATCTAAAACACTTTGCATTCTTTCACAGTATTTTCAGACCTACAATTGAAGTCTTCCCTAGCTATAACATCACCTAGACAGAATGAGTCCACCACAACCAAGCATTTGTCACACTGACTGACACACACATAGACATAGATAGCAGAAGACAAAGATAATATATCATTAGAACATGGGAAAGAAAATGTATCCAGATAAACCGCATGAATAAGTCGTACAAGTTTTTAAAAGGGCAAAAAGTCATGCTTCATGTTTGATAATTGGAGAAAGTTCAGGCAATTGGTATTGTTGCTGAAATGTAGATTACAAAACGCGGGGTCCACATATCATAAACAATGCAAGAAGTGGCGGGGGTGTTTGGAGAGTCTCCCTTTGAGGACGTTAAAGGGAAACTAATCACCAAAACAAGTTTAGCTTAATGAAGCAGTTTTAATATATAGATCATGATCCTGCAGTCTCACTGGTCAATTCTCTGCAATTTAGGAGTTAAATCCCTTTTGTTTGTCCATGCAGCCCTAGCCACACCTGCCCTGGCTGTGACTCACACACCGTGCATGAGGAAAAGAAAAAAAAAATTTTTGTTTCACGTTCAATTAGATGTAACCTACTCTAAATGTTACATCTAATTGCCTGCTCTCTAAAGTGAACATTAATCATACACAGGAAGCTTCTGTGAGGTCTAGCAAGCTATCAACAGTGGACTAATACATTTTAAATTAAATATAATTTGCAAAGGAAGTATAAACATTAGCTGACTCTTTACAGGAAGTGTTTAGGAAGGCTGTGCAAGTCACATGCAGAGAGGTGTGACTAAGGTGCATAAACAAAGTGATTCAACTCCTAAATGGCAGAGAATTGAGCAGTAACACTGCAGGGAAATGATTTATAGAGTGGGCTAGTACCCCCAAGGGGAACTAGCGAGTGTGTGTAGAGACAACCTAGGGGGGTAACCCTCACAATTGTGTGAAAATTAAGATGATCCCTGGAGGAAAACCCCCTGGGGGACGGAGAAGGAAGTACCAGTGGGATCTGTTATGTATTTACAATTATATATAAAAAGTAACTTTTATTGAAAAACTTGTAATAAAACCATTCTACAAATAGTGTTTATTATTTGTAATAGAAGCATTTATAAAAGATAAAGTCATCTAGACAATATTAGTAGACAAACTGAACCTCATCTGGATAGATGCCCAGGTCAAACACTAAGACCGTATCGACTGCTACAAATAGTTAGGCATAGCCTATCCAGAATAACCATTGCTCTTGTGAGGGAGCTTAAGCAATAAATTGTGCATTAACTGACAACTTGTAATCGTATCTTATAGCTACTTGTAAAAAAAAAAAATATATATAATGTGTGGCAATAATGCTTAGGTAATTGCTTGTGGTATCGGGCTACTACTTATAATCCTCGATCATTTATAAGTTGCTATAGTAACCAAATCTTGAGACTACACAGGATGCATTCCCAGAGGCTGTACTTATGAATCTGATGACTTCACTTGGGCTGCAAAACCAAAAAAAAAAAAAAAAAAAAAAAGGGCTGATCAGTCCCTCTAAAGTAGAACTAATATACCATGATTGAACATACCTTGGTGATGGAGAAATCCAGCCTCACATAGAGAATAACTGTGAAGAACAGAATATAGAAGGCACCCACAACCAGTAGCGGTTCCTGAAGCATCAGGATTTTGTTGAATGTGTAATGCACGACAATATCCTGAATGTGCTGCTCGACTAGATTGTTCTTATGAGCAACGATCACTGGGCGACCAAAAGTGTCAAGATAGGTGTAATGCAGTTCATCAGGGGCACGGTTGATGTCATAGGGGTTGTCAACATGGATGTTTCTGTAATTCAAATCATTAAATTGAGCTCCAACAACATTCAAACACAAAACTGGACTATTCTGACTATCAAAACCACTAGGGTGTAAGTAGCAAAAACAAACATGGCATGTTACTGAATCTCAATAAAGCTGCATCACTTAAATTAAAATACAAACTTATACATTAAAGCCTTTAACATAATAAACCTATTCGGTTTTGAAAAAAAAAAAAAAATGAATATATACACATACATAGAGAGAGAGACAGAGACACACACACACACACAACCCCCTTTGGTCGGACAGTGTTTGAAAACAGAATCTCTGGTCTTCCCCGCAGGGAAGACTATAGACTGTCAATCTTAAGACACTGTCTGACCTAACGTGTATGTATGTGGCTGAAGAATCACTTCAAATACCAAGTGTAATGAGGAGTCTCCCCCCCACCCTCACATTTAAAAAAATAAAATAAAATAAAAAAATAAAAGTTAAAAGGTCAATTTGTTGTAAACCATTATACAATACTGGTAAGAACAATGCACCCACTATTCTATTGAGAGAGAAAAAATAAAAATTGGAGTTTTAATTAAAAAAAACTTACTTGGCTCCTTCTGGCAGGATTATTTTAACAGTTAGTGCATCCACAACTTGTTCATCAAATACATGATCAATAAACCTTATCTTCAAGGCGTACTGATCACCTGTAAAGAAAGTACATTTTTATTACGCTCATAAAAATAGTGTTTCATACCAGCACATGCCTGTGGTGCAGCATTGAAGTCATGAAGGAGTCTTTACACTTCATATAAAAAAATAAATTTCAGGACAAATGTGGAGTGTTAATTATAAATGTTAATACTTAAAGGGCATAATTTTTTTTAAAATGGAGCACTTGAAAGCGAGCATTAACATTTTATACATAAACCCCCCCCACTGTTGGTATACATTTAGGAAAATTAATTGTAAAGTTTATAAATTGAACAAATAAATCCAGCTCACAATCTGCATGTCAAATTATAAATGCTGCTCATATGAAATGCTTGGTGCAAAATGTACACATTATTAATGTTTGCACACAGTTCTAGCAAGATAATTTGAACTCTACTTAAAGGAAATTATGGAATGTACATCAGTTCTGCAATAAAATAATTGATAACCAAGGTATAAAATGCTGCAGAACAAAAGCCATTTCAAAGGATGCTGCCATTTACCAAGATTGTAAAGGTACTCATAGCTTGGAAGGTTATATCCAATGAGATAATGAGTCTTCCATCCTCCAAAAAGTGGGAATCTGGGTCTGATTTCCATCTCCACTGAATCATCGAGAACCAGTAAATGGCTGGTAGAAATGTTTCCAATTTCGTCCCTGTAGTAAACATCTTGGGCAGCCGCTGGGAGAATAGTCTAGAATAAAATTTTTTTTAAAAGCAAAGTACAGTTTGTTACATTTTGAGAGTGAGAGGGAGAGGGAACTTTCCCTATATATTAGCTCCTCTCACAGCTAAACTATGGTGTTAGGAAAACGAAGTTGTTTTCCTAGCACTATAGCTTTCTAAAGGGTCTTCCGTGATGCAGAACGGGTTAAAAACATTGTATATTGCTTTCCCATGGGTTTTGGGTGATGCTGGATGTCCTCAAGCAGAGAGTGAGAACGTCCAGCGTCAGGCGACCAAAAGTCATCTGACCACCCAGAAGTCCCTCTAGTGGCTGTCCGTCAGATTATCTGGTTAATCAATAACTGCAATAATTACAACTGCAGGGTTAAGGGGCCTGGGACACTGCACCCATACCACTTCAATGAGCTGAAGTGGTCTGGGTGCCTATATTGTCCCTTAAGGGAAACAAAACACACCAGCTTTAAATAAGTAATCAAAGTTGAAGTACTTTATGCGACTGGAGTCTGTTTTTCTAACAGTAAATAATAGTGCAGATTTCAATAAAAAGCACTTCCCCCAGCTGTCACTCATGCAGCCAAAGAGTTTTTCTTCCTTTTCTCCAAAGAACTAACAGAAGTAGCAGGAGCACTGGGATCCAGCATGACTGCATCCCCTTTCTTAATTAACAGTACTACAGCTTGCTGAGAAGCACTGGATAGCTGTGAACACACGCATGGCTCCAGCACAGAGGCTTTCAAATGAACTTTCAGTGTGTCTTGTTGATAAACAAGAGGAATTGTAAAGGCTGCAGATAGCAGATCTGCAGCTTATGCAAGCCATTTTTTTTTTGTTTTTTTTGTTTTTTTTATATACCCCCAAAGAAAACGTGTTTTAATTGTGTAATTTCTCGGTACTGTATGAATCTTCGTCGTCTCTCTCCATGGTTAGATGGTACTTACAACAAAGTGTTAGTTAACTCATACTTCTTTCTGCAAATATAAGACTTCATTACATTCTTCCACATCTATTAATGCACAGACATTTGAACTAATGTATTTTACCAACCTTAAATGATTTGACTGACGAGATTCCACTGTCAGGCTGCCTCTGGTAATCATATCTTGAAAAAGGTCCTTTCAGATCAGCCCCAGTATGTTTGAGGTCCACAGTCTCTTCCACTGCAATGTTACCCCAGTGAGAAACCTCAATCAACCGAGTCATGCCGGTGATTGTTAGGAAGGGACTGTTGTTTTCGTAGTGGACCTTTAAGGGATCCTGTAAGGAAAAAATATTTTAAATGCATAGTATAAAAGACAGAATGTTGTTCTAATATATAAGAGACAATCATATTTCAGCTTCTAAAGCCACCTTAATGTGCACAAGACAAGGCCAGCTTCACATGTATAATATTTTAATCTTTACATTTTGACAGTTTTGAATTACTAACAATGCACACGAGAGATTAGCCCATCCTGGATCTGGCCCCTGCAGTGGATGTGTGAAGAGCGGCTACTGACTCACAAGTTCACAACCCACAATGCTTAGCATTGCATATTAGACGTGTTAAAATTCTGCACAGATGCATGTGCACCCACAGGATTGGTACAAACATGTTTTAAAAGCAGAATTTTTTGTTTTACTAAAATGTGGCAAAACTGCCCTGGTTAACAATTTATAAACTTATTCACCTCACTCCATGGTGCAATATCTTTGAACGGACCATATTCAATGATGTCCTCAGACCGAGATGGATTGCCCAGCTTTGTGTAGCTTTCAACGTTCCTGGAAGCAAGTTTGACACGTGTTGTTTGGGACTTTGTCAAATAAGGAGAGTAGAAGTAATGGTTCCCTTCAAACACCACAAATTGTTTCTCTGCCTGTGTGATCTGCGTTGGGTATGGCTGAAGAACATGTGTGAAGACAGTCTCGATTGACACTTTAGTTTTGGCTCCCGGGGAAAGAGATGATCCTAATTTCACTGTGAACTGCTTTCCACTAAAAAATAAATTAAAAAAAAAGAAGGCCAACATATCACTACATAGCTAACAATAAAATTAACAGGACATCCAATTTAAAACATCCCTCTCACTGTGGAGATCTTGAATCACTAACTAGGCAAAAATTAAATTCCTGCCAGCAGTTTGCTTTTACAGTTTGAAATATTCAAAGTGACAGTTCCTGTTTATAGTCATAGGATTATATGTAAAATACTAGGAGTAACCATTCCCCACTTTTTGCAAACATGTGTTTTTTCCTGCTATAGCAGCAAAAAAGCCTTTCACTCTATTTCTGACACGCTACTGTGTCACATCAAAAATACTATGAAATCAAATATTGATTATTAGGCGACGAGATGAGAAATATATTGTCTTTATAAGCCCAAAATATGAATGTAGCTTTTCCAACAAGTAAATAAACCCACCTGTTCGTTCATGTTACTTAGCATGCAGGTCTGACACACATCGTACAGCTTCCCATAAAGTGCTGAACTAAATATCCTGTGAACCCATGCAACAAGTTTTTGGATGGAAACAATGAAATCACCAGGTACCTATGTCCTTGCAGATATTTAAAGGCACACTGTAGTCACCAAAACAACTTTAGCTTAATGTAGCAGCTTTAGTGTAAATATCATGCATCTGTGGTGTTACTGCTCATTTCTCAATAAAACAAGGGGAATTGACACAAGCATTTAGTGAATCTTTAACTGTATGTGGTAGTAAGTTAGGAGGAATAGTATTAATGTAAAGATGCTGAGCAAGCAAGAAAGTAAAATTTAAAAAAAAAAAACCCACACACAAAGCGCCGCCTTATGTTTAAAAAAATTTAAGAGACTAAAGACGGACATTGCATATATCCAGGAAACCCACCTATCAAAACAAGCCAAAGTAAACCTAAAAGACCATACCTTCCGGGGATCGTATGAAGCAAGATCACAATGTAAACGCAACAGAGTGGCTATTCTAATCAGAAACAGCTGCCCATTTCGGAAGACAACCCAGGAAACAGACCCAGAAGGCTGATACATTATCGTATCGGGCATCTTATACTCACATACCATACACCTGATTAACGTGTATGCCCCGAACCAACCAGACCCCTCGTTCTGGACCACCCTCCGGGAGAAGGTCTCATCACTTCCACGTGGCATGGTCTATATGGGAGGGGATTTCAACGCTACCCCATGCCCGGCAGCGGACAGGAGCACTAGAGACGGAATACCGAGATCCCAAGGAAGAGGTGGACAAGATCGACTGTTTAAAAAATTCATCTAGACACGGGCCTAACGGATGTATGGCGAGCGCATCACCCAGGAGACAGGGACTACTCCTTCTATTCAACACCTCATGGTACGTATTCCAGAATAGATCTCTTCCTAACTAACGCGACAGGCATGCCCAGGATTATAGGCTCTAAGATTGGCAATATATCATGGTCGGACCATGCAGATGTGTCCATTACATTGGGCAATTTGTGTGTGGTTTCGCCATGGACGTGGAGATTAAACACATCGCTACTACAGGACCCGGAGCTAAAAACAGATACGGACTGAAATAGTGGAATATTTTACCACAAACAACACCCCAGATGTCAGCGCGGGGTCAATATGGGCAGCCCACAAGGCGGTAATAAGAGGGACCCTTATAAAACTAGCCACTAGAAAGAAGAAAATGAAACATATACAACTGGACACCCTGATGAGTCAATTAGGGAACCTTGAACAGAAGCATCAAGCGACACCCGACAATGAGACCTATAAGAAATTGGAAGCGGTACGGAGAAACATTCTAACGCTACTGCTAGATGATACCGCTCAATCCATGATCTGGTCGAAACGGACTTTCTACGAGAAGTCCAATAAAATGGATTCACTCCTAGCCGAACATTGCGACCTAGACAAGAACGATTCCACATCACGGCCATCAAACATCCGGATGGAACGACAAAAATCAAGGCCAGATGAGATAGCAAAAGTCTTTGAGGACTTTTACAAAAAAAGACTATACAACCACACACCAGACGCAAACACTCCTGACGGATATGTAGAAGAACATATTAACAGCTACCTGAATGACCTTGGGTTGACCAAACTTGGGAGAGAGGCAGTAAATAGCCTGACAGCTGAAATTACAGAGCAAGAAGTATATAGAGCCATATCAAACTTGAAAGGTAACAAGGCTCCAGGACCTGATGGGTTCAATGGTACGTATTACAAGACCTTCAAGGAAGAGCTTACACCCCAACTGATGAAACTTTTTGACTACATGAAACAGGGGGGGACTCCTCACTCCAGACATGACCCTAGCTACCATTGTATTGATACCCAAACCCGACAAAGACACGCTCCAACCAGAAAACTACAGGCCCATATCGCTGATTAACCAAGATCTGAAAATACTGGCAAAAATACAAGCTGACAGATTGAACCCACTACTAAACTCACTCATACATGCCGACCAAATAGGCTTTATTCAGGGCAGACAATTGTTCGAGAATACCAGAAGGAACATCGATCTAATCTGGAAACAAGTGACCTCTGAAGTCCCCACCTTAGTGGTCTCCATAGATGCGGAGAAGGCCTTTGATAGGGTGAGATGGCAATTCCTCTTCTCGGTGCTGAACCACTTGGGATTCCCGGAAGAATTTATAACTACTACGAAAGCAATGTACCATGAAGTGAGAGCACAGATACAGATCACAGGTGCCCCGATGAAACCATTCCGACTCTATAATGGCACTAGGCAGGGGTGCCCACTTTCCCCACTCCTGTTTGTACTAGCACTGGAGCCCTTGATGCAAGCGATCAGACAACATCCAGATATTGGAGAAGTACGGGTAGGAGACAGAAAGTTTACAGTCTCAGCGTACGCGGACGACATTCTTTTGACCATTACGAACCCCTCCACTCCGCAAACTATGGTCCCTTAATCAGGAAGTTGATGGGAGACTTAGAAAGGTGGATAGATAAGCCCATCTCCTGGATAGGACGAATTAACTCTGTTAAAATGAACGTCCTCCCAAGGATTTTATTCTTATTCCAGGCTCTCCCTGTCTGCGTCACTAAAGCACAACTGAATCCGCTACAACGGTCAATAGGTGACTTAATTTGGCAGAACAAGAGGCACAGGATATCAAGACAGATTCTCTATAGATGAAAAGAAAGAGGGGGGCTGGGCCTACCAAACCTATACTTTTATTACCTTGCAGCCCAACTAACACAGGTAGCTATGTCGCATTCCCCACCGGAACAGAGGAGATGGGTCGAGATAGAATCCATGATGGTGGGCTGGGATGTCCCCCAGTTCACTATGTGGATCCCGAAAGATTATAGACCCTTGATATGGGTGACTTGCCCGTCCATACTTAATTCGCTCCAAATATGGGACACAAACAAAACCAAGTATGGACTGGCGGCCTCCCCCCTGACTCCAATTCTCAGAAATAGGGAGTTCCAGCCTGGTATGGCTCCCAGAGATTTTCGAAACTTGGAGAGAACGGGACTACAACGGATCCATCAACTATACCATAATGGGAACTTAATCCAATTCGCGGACCTTCAACAAGATAACCACCTAACCCCCACAGACTTCTTTAGATATATACAGATCCAGGACTTCGCTAGGAAACCACACATAAAGGCTGCAGCTCAGGGAAACATGACGTTCTACGAGAAACTATGCCTACACGAGAGGACCCCCAAGGGCATGATAACCCTGATGTACGCCCACCTTAGCACAGAAACCAAAGAATGGGGGCGACTAACTTATACCGACCAATGGGAGACAGAACTAGGAGAAGAGCTAGAAGGCATAGAATGGCAAGAAATATGGGAAGCAAATAAAAACGCTTCTATATGTGTCACACTACAGGAACAGATGTGGAAAACCATGTTTAGATGGTACACAACCCCCGTAAAACTATATAAAATGCACAAAATGGATACGGATGACTGCTGGAGGGGATGTGGAGCCCGAGGTACGTACCTTCACATGTGGTGGAAATGCCCAAAACTTCTTAGATTTTGGAAAGCGACAGAAGACCTACTGAAACAAATATTTAACAAGCTCCTGACCAGAGATCCATGGGTATACCTATTAAACAGGTCTGTAGACGGATGGACCAAGAGAGAGCAGAAACTAGTCCATAAAATAACTCTAAGCGCGAGACGAACAATAGCGACTGGGTGGCTTTCACCAGACGGACCTGAGTTCCCGAGAGTGATATTCAGGATCCGCGAATGTAGGATTATGGACGACCTGACAGCAAGAGTAAAGGGATCGACAGAAACGTTTCTAAAACTTTGGGAGCCGTGGGATAATAGCTCTAGAGAGGACAGATAAGACCGACAGGAAGAAGTAAAGGTGACCTAGTGTAAAGGTGACCTAGTAGCGGAGTTCTCCTCCGACCGGAGGACCCATTCAACACACGTGGCATGGGGGGTTCTGGAAGTGCCTCCTGTCCCCCCCCCCAGATCTCACCCCCTAACATTCTTTCCTCACCGCTTCCAGGATGCTGCACCCACCATATTACTTTTCTTTACTTTGTACTATCTTCTCAGTCTCTCTCTCTTTCTCTAATCCCTTATTCTTTCACTTCCCGTACCTCAACGGGAAAATTCCATTCTTTATTTAAAGGACCACTATAGTGCCAGGAAAACATACTCGTTTTCCTGGCACTATAGCGCCCTGAGGGTGCCCCCACCCTCAGGGACCCCCTCCCGCCCGGCTCTGGAAGGGGGAAAGGGGTAATAACTTACCTTTTTCCAGCGCTGGGCGGAGAGCTCTCCTCCTCCTCCGCCTCCGTTCGCCCCGCCGGCTGAATGCGCACGCGCAGCAAGAGCTGCGCGCGCATTCAGCCTGTCGCATAGGAAAGCATTTACAATGCTTTCCTATGGACGCTGCGTGCTCTCACTGTGAAAATCACAGTGAGAAGCACGCAAGCACCTCTAGTGGCTGTCAATGAGACAGCCACTAGAGGCTTTGGGGGAAGGCTTAACCCATTCATAATTATAGATAAAATAGAAAGGTGAACAGCGCTAAAAATCAGAAAATGTACATACGTTTTGTAGAAATACTGGCCAGCAGAGTAACTTAAAAAAAAGAGAAACAAAAATACAAATAATGGTACAGTATGTATGAACGATATAATTCCACAAGAACAAAGGTGTTATATTCACACTCACACTTTGAGGAGCTATATCAGCTCGGTGTTAAGAGCCTGGACGGAATAATCCCCGTCTATGGATTTCTTGAGGTTCAAGACCGTTGGTGAATTTATAGGTGTAAATATTCGTTACATGAAAAACAAGAGTAAAATACACCACATGGTATAGTACGTAAATATAAAATATTGTGAAAAAAAGTGGATGATCCTACTTACATATACTAGAGCAACGACCTGCTCTAGTTTGGAGAATTTCAGGTGGAATAATCCCCACCTTGGGATATAGTGGACCCAGGTATAGCAGCAAAGCAGTATTGGATAGGAAGGAGGACAAAAGGAATGAGTGGATAGTTTAAAAAATATATATACTTTAATACAATAAGTAAAAAGTGAATAATAAACTATAAAACCAGTCCTGTTTAAAAGTCCCAAATTCTTCCTCACTTGACGCGTTTCGCCGAAGCTTTCTCAAAAGTGAATGCTTGCTGCTTGGGGTCCTTGAGATTATATACCTTCTCTGATGATGAAAATCGATTCTGCTGTGCATATTTCCTCATTTCCTGTTTTCAGCAAGATAGCATAGACAGGAAGTTCTCCGGACACCATCTTGGATGTGGGCAATTTGTGGGAAAGTTCAAAAATAGGAATCAAAGGTATACAATAACATAATAACATATTGAATCAGATAAAAACGTGAATAATTACAGATGTGGCCACACATAGAGTATATGATAGTAGAAATCAATTCTACTATGTGTATTTCCTCATTTCCTGTTTTCAGCAAGATGGCATAGACAGGAAGTTCTCCGGACGCCATCTTGGATATGGGCAATTTGTGGAAAGTTCAAAAATAGGAATCAAAAGTATACAATAACATAATAACATATTGAATCAGCTAATAACTTGAATAATTACAGAAATGGATACACATAGAGCATATAAGTGACATAAAAGATATAATAATTAATTACTTGATAGTGTCATAAACTAAACTGTTCCGGCCGCCATTTTAAATATGGGCTAGTGATAGAAATTGAGCTCAAAGAATGCCATATCGAAAAAGAACATACTTTAAATGGAAAGGGGACATGTATATACAGCTAGGGGAAATATAAATAGTATAAAAACACAGTAGTATCTGCATAAAAGGGTGTAAAAGAAATTATAAACACCCATTAAAAATGGGTTATAGAACGAGTGATAAAAAATACATTTTACAAAATGAGTTATAAAAAATGAACCAAATCGAATTCTATATTAAGTCCATTTGGGTGGAGGGTATCTAAACGATAGACCCACTCCATTTCTAACTTGCCTATGTTTCTGGTGGTGTCGCCCCCTCTCCAATGTGGTTTATATTTAGCAATACCCAAAAATTTTAATAGGCTGGGGTCTTTGTTGTGCTGTAAAAAGTGCGCAGATACAGAGTGATTTTTGTAGCCTTTTTCAATATTACGGCAGTGTTCACTAATTCTTACTTTCAATGGCCTTATTGTTCTGCCGACGTATTGTAGTCCACATGGACACTCTAACATGTAGATTACGTTATTACTATTACACGTTAAAATTTCATTAATATTAAAGAGCTTTTTGTTTCTGTTAGACTTAAACTCTGATGTGCATTTTTCCATTTTGTGTGTTTTTCTACATGATATGCACGTATTACATCTAAAAAAACCTTTATTGATAGTTAAAAAATTGTTTTTTTGTATGTTTTGATTTCTAGTGAAATTATTTGTAAGTTGTAATTTTAGATTAGGTGCACCTCTATATATTATAGTGGGTTTATCTGGTAGGGCTTCACTTAGTATTGGATCCTCTTTAAGTAAATGCCAATTTTTGTTAATAATCTTTTTGATATGTTTGCTTTTATTATTATAGTCGAATATCAAAGGAAGGGTGAATCTGTTGGTTTGAGGGTCCTTAGGTGGTTTTTGGAGCAATAGTGATTCTCTCTGTGTCTCATCTATTGATATTATAGTTTTGTCTATTGTTTTGGGGTTGTAGCCTTTTTGTATGAACTTTTGTTTCATGTTAGTTGCTTGAGTGTGAAATACTGATGCTTCTGAGCAGTTTCTTTTCAGTCTGAGGAATTGGCTTTTGGGTATTCCATTGAGCCATATGGGGTTGTGGCAGCTATCATAGCTGATAAAGGTATTAGTATGTACTTCCTTAAAATGTGTTTTAGTGCAAAGTGTGTTCTCTTTAACATAGAGTTCTAAATCTAAAAAGGTTACTGTATGATTACTAAAAACGGAAGTTAAAATTATACCTTCATTATTCTGGTTTAAGTAATTAATGAAGGATTCCGCTGAAGACATGGGTCCTTCCCATATAAAGAGGAGATCATCGATATAGCGATGATATGAGACCAGGTTCGCGCACCAGCTATGCCCCTCCCATATCCATCTGTTTTCCCATTCCGTCATGAATAGGTTGGCATAGCTGGGCGCAAACCTGGTCCCCATGGCTGTCCCTGTTATCTGAAGGTAAAAAGCATCTGCGAACCAAAAATAGTTGTGGTGTAAAATAAGATCAATTCCCTTTAAAATAAATTCAATTTGAGCAGAATCCATATCTTTATATTTTTCTAAAATTGATTTAACCGCTGAGATCCTTTTTTCATGTGGGATGATTGTATATAGTGATTTTACATCACTAGTAATGAGGATGTAATTTTCTTTCCAGGTGATATTATTTAGTGTGTTAAGGAGATCTATGGTGTCTTTTAAATAGGATTTGCTTAATTTCACATATGGCTGGAGCATAATATCAATATATTCTGAAAGATTTGCCAGAATTGAATCTATGCCGGAGACGATAGGCCTTCCGGGTGGGTTGGTGGGGTCTTTGTGGATCTTAGGTAGAAAATATATTACAGGGATCTTAGGGTATAGTGTATTAATATAATCAAATTCTTTTAAGGTCAAAATCCCCTTCTCTTTACCCTCTCTTAGAAAATTTGTTAGTAAAATCCTAATATCACTTGTGGGATCTTTTTTTAATTTAGTGTACGTTTGTGGGTCATTAAGTTGTTTATAGGCTTCAGTCTCATACATCTCCTTTGATAGAATAACTAGTCCACCCCCCTTGTCAGCCGGTTTTATTACAATGGATTCATCTTCTTTTAAAAGTTTGATGGCTTCCCTTTCTTTTTTATTTAAATTGAATTTATCATATTTATGGTTAATTTCTAGTTTACCAAGTTCTCTATTTACCTTCTTTTCAAAAATTTCCAATGCCCCAGATTTGTAATAGGATGGATAAAAAGTTGATCTTTTTTTTAAAAGGCTATTTTTATAAACATTTGTATTTGAATCAATTTCAGTTATAATTTTATTTTCTTCTAAGTTTTTAGATGCATAAAATCTTTTCAAAGTCGCATTTCTTATAAATTTATTTACATCAATAAAAGCCTGAAAACTATTAAAAGTTTTAGTTGGTGCGTATTTAAGTCCCTTTTTTAAAACATTTATTTGTATGCTGGTTAGTACTTTATTAGACAAGTTGAAGATGCCATGATCGCTTGTTTTTTCATCTGTATTTAAAATCGGTCTGATCTGACTTTTTTTATTGCGGTCATGTTTTCTTCCTGCTCTTCTTCCTCTAGGGATCTTTTCTGGCCTATGATGGGAGTGAAGGGAAGATGGTTCGTACGTAATTCTTGATTTATGGGGATCTCTAAAAAAGACGTCTCGTCTAGGTGTTCGGAAAAAGATAAAGTATGGTACCTATTATTTCTTAATACGTCAGTGGGCGATCTAGAGCGGCTTCTCTCGGTTTTTTTATATGTTTTAGTATTGACTTTTTCCCATCTGTAGTTCTCTTTGTCAGTTTTTCTCTTTGGGGATGTTGGTCTGTAAGCATATCTATGAGTTTTTGGTCTTACTATTTGGGGTGATTTTTCCCTTGATTTTGATCTGTATCGTTTACTTTCAGTTTTGTTGGTTATGGTTTTTGTGTAGATTTTTTCTTTTTGAAATTTGCCTTGTTTTGGTATATTGTCAACTCTTGCTTTATTAGCATATGTGTCAAAGGTTCTGGGGGATCTTGTGTATTGGTGTATAGGGGAGTGCTTTTTAGCTTTGTAATGATTAAAGTGCATAGGTTCGTGGTATGATCGGAGTCTCTGTCTGTGAAAATTACTTTTAACAGGCGAATATGTGGGTTTGTGCATGTCGTGCTGGTGATGATTTCTTATGTGTGTATTATTTCCATTGTTGTAACGTTTCTTTGTGTTATAGGTCCTAACTTGATTGTGTGTGTAATCATATACATCTCTATTATATTTACTTATCTTGAATTTTTTTATGTCACTTTCTATTCTTTCAACGTTTTTCTTAATCTTCAGTGATATATCGAAAAACTCCTGTGTGTCACTGAAGGGGGTGAGTTGTTCTTTTAGTGAATTTATTTTTTTATCTAGGGTGGTTAGTTTCTCATTTTTTACTTGAATAAGGGATTTCATTAGAAACTGCTCAGAAGCATCAGTATTTCACACTCAAGCAACTAACATGAAACAAAAGTTCATACAAAAAGGCTACAACCCCAAAACAATAGACAAAACTATAATATCAATAGATGAGACACAGAGAGAATCACTATTGCTCCAAAAACCACCTAAGGACCCTCAAACCAACAGATTCACCCTTCCTTCGATATTCGACTATAATAATAAAAGCAAACATATCAAAAAGATTATTAACAAAAATTGGCATTTACTTAAAGAGGATCCAATACTAAGTGAAGCCCTACCAGATAAACCCACTATAATATATAGAGGTGCACCTAATCTAAAATTACAACTTACAAATAATTTCACTAGAAATCAAAACATACAAAAAAACAATTTTTTAACTATCAATAAAGGTTTTTTTAGATGTAATACGTGCATATCATGTAGAAAAACACACAAAATGGAAAAATGCACATCAGAGTTTAAGTCTAACAGAAACAAAAAGCTCTTTAATATTAATGAAATTTTAACGTGTAATAGTAATAACGTAATCTACATGTTAGAGTGTCCATGTGGACTACAATACGTCGGCAGAACAATAAGGCCATTGAAAGTAAGAATTAGTGAACACTGCCGTAATATTGAAAAAGGCTACAAAAATCACTCTGTATCTGCGCACTTTTTACAGCACAACAAAGACCCCAGCCTATTAAAATTTTTGGGTATTGCTAAATATAAACCACATTGGAGAGGGGGCGACACCACCAGAAACATAGGCAAGTTAGAAATGGAGTGGGTCTATCGTTTAGATACCCTCCACCCAAATGGACTTAATATAGAATTCGATTTGGTTCATTTTTTATAACTCATTTTGTAAAATGTATTTTTTATCACTCGTTCTATAACCCATTTTTAATGGGTGTTTATAATTTCTTTTACACCCTTTTATGCAGATACTACTGTGTTTTTATACTATTTATATTTCCCCTAGCTGTATATACATGTCCCCTTTCCATTTAAAGTATGTTCTTTTTCGATATGGCATTCTTTGAGCTCAATTTCTATCACTAGCCCATATTTAAAATGGCGGCCGGAACAGTTTCGTTTATGACACTATCAAGTAATTAATTATTATATCTTTTATGTCACTTATATGCTCTATGTGTATCCATTTCTGTAATTATTCAAGTTATTAGCTGATTCAATATGTTATTATGTTATTGTATACTTTTGATTCCTATTTTTGAACTTTCCACAAATTGCCCATATCCAAGATGGCGTCCGGAGAACTTCCTGTCTATGCCATCTTGCTGAAAACAGGAAATGAGGAAATACACATAGTAGAATTGATTTCTACTATCATATACTCTATGTGTGGCCACATCTGTAATTATTCACGTTTTTATCTGATTCAATATGTTATTATGTTATTGTATACCTTTGATTCCTATTTTTGAACTTTCCCACAAATTGCCCACATCCAAGATGGTGTCCGGAGAACTTCCTGTCTATGCTATCTTGCTGAAAACAGGAAATGAGGAAATATGCACAGCAGAATCGATTTTCATCATCAGAGAAGGTATATAATCTCAAGGACCCCAAGCAGCAAGCATTCACTTTTGAGAAAGCTTCGGCGAAACGCGTCAAGTGAGGAAGAATTTTGGACTTTTAAACAGGACTGGTTTTATAGTTTATTATTCACTTTTTACTTATTGTATTAAAGTATATATATTTTTTAAACTATCCAGTCATTCCTTTTGTCCTCCTTCCTATCCAATACTGCTTTGCTGCTATACCTGGGTCCACTATATCCCAAGGTGGGGATTATTCCACCTGAAATTCTCCAAACTAGAGCAGGTCGTTGCTCTAGTATATGTAAGTAGGATCATCCACTTTTTTTTTCACAATATTTTATATTTACGTACTATACCATGTGGTGTATTTTACTCTTGTTTTTCATGTAACGAATATTTACACCTATAAATTCACCAACGGTCTTGAACCTCAAGAAATCCATAGACGGGGATTATTCCGTCCAGGCTCTTAACACCGAGCTGATATAGCTCCTCAAAGTGTGAGTGTGAATATAACACCTTTGTTCTTGTGGAATTATATCGTTCATACATACTGTACCATTATTTGTATTTTTGTTTCTCTCTCTTTTTAAGTTACTCTGCTGGCCAGTATTTCTACAAAACGTATGTACATTTTCTGATTTTTAGCGCTGTTCACCTTTCTATTTTATCTGTCTATTTATCACAAGGTAGAGGAACACCTTGTTGGTGAACTGCTGCTCACCCCTGAGAAGAGAGCGCTTATTATTCTTTTGCATTTGATACATTCATAATTATAGCAGTTTCTCTGAAACTGCTATAATTATGAAAAAATGGGTTAACCCTAGAAGGACCTGGCACCCAGACCACTTCATTAAGCTGAAGTGGTCTGGGTGCCTAGAGTGGTCCTTTAACAAATACTCAGCATACCAACCTCCTCAGGCATGGTCAATGTAACGAAAGAAATGGGAGACCTAGAAATACAATACAGACCTTAGATTATTACTCCCATAACTATATCTAAAGACCTGAAAATATCAAACTTTCGATTGGATACTGACATTACAGATATTCAAAAACGTCACAAGATTCACATGACATATGAAACATGTTATACAGCTGATCGTTAGGCCAAAGTTTGCCTCTGCGTCAGTGACACTTCTTATGCACACCTAAGTATTCCTGTCAAACCAATATAATGTATTGAGGAATTACATTATGTATATTAAAATCCTTCATGGAGAGCAAGCCCTCATGGTTCCGTTAAACATGGGCACATACTGTAATGATTGAACTGCATGTAATTGTTAAGAAATTACCCATAATTTGGCTTCTGTGTAAGCCCAACCGTTGATGCTTGCTTGCTATGTATGTTGAGCAAAAATAAAAATAAAAAGAATAAAAAAAAAAAAAAAATTAAAAAAAACCCACAACAACACACGACAGACCTAATGTGTGAATTCCTTTAAAGGACCACTATAGTCCCAGGAAAACATACTCGTTTTCCTGGCACTATAGTGCCCCGAGGGTGCCCCCACCCGCCTGGCTCTGGAAGGAGGAAAGGGGTTAAAACTTACCTTTTTCCAGCGCTGGGCGGAGAGCTCTCCTCCTCCGATCCGCCCCGTCGGCTGAATGCGCACGCGCGGCAAGAGCTGCGCGTGCATTCAGCCGGTCGCATAGGAAAGCATTTACAATGCTTTCCTATGGACGCTGGCGTGCTCTCACTGTGAAAAATCACAGTGAGAAGCACGCAAGCGCCTCTAGCGGCTGTCAATGAGACAGCCACTAGAGGGAATAGGGGGAAGGCTTAACCCATTCATAAACATAGCAGTTTCTCTGAAACTGCTATGTTTATTAAAAAAATGGGTTAACCCTGGCTGGACCTGGCACCCAGACCACTTCATTAAGCTGAAGTGGTCTGGGTGCCTAGAGTGGTCCTTTAATTCTTCAGGGCCTGCTAGGCTTTACACAAACTGTACATCTCAGTCAAACAAATACAAATGTACCTTTTCCCTTTACTTTTGGTTTCTTTTATTTCCAAATAGCCCTCCTCTTCTTCATCACCCTTAACCTAAAAAGGAAAAGAAGCAAAATAACAATTACACAAGAAAGTATTTTATTTTTTGGAATTTGAATCTTTATAGCTGGCACAAAGTTCCACTGGCCAGTGATAATACCCAGGGTAACATCATTGTTCCCATTAAGACAACATGCAGAACAGTCTAAAACATTCATGTGTATTATGGATGTTGCTAAAAAAAATTAAATAAATAAATAATAAATAAAAAAATAGATAAATAGTGCCAGATAGAGAAATGTAAAGATTAAGTCCAAGTACCATATTCACAAGAGTGCTGTAGTTGTTATGGTGCCCGAGTCCCTCAGTGCTGTTCCCCAACATGTATTTAAATATTTTTAATGGATCACCATGCTAATGTCATTTTGCATATATAAATTTGGGTACCCAGCAAACAGACTTAAGAACCACTGACATAAAACTTGTTTTAATAACCATTGATTACCAGAAGGACTATAAGGGGACTCCAAGCACCAAGTTGTAGTGGTTATGATGCTCAGACTACATCTAAAAGCTAATAAACTCTCATTTACATTTTGTTAAATCTGTAAGAATCAGTGCAGCAGTGGTAGTAGCAACAGCAGCAGCTCGTTAACACATCCATTAACAGTTGTTAGAAGTCATCAATGGTTTATTTACCAATTACTAAAATGATATTTACATGGTAATCGTACTCAAGTGTAATACTTTTGTTATAAGGACAAAGAGATAGCACAAAAATAATAATTTTAAATAAATGGTCACAGAATTAACAGCCAATCCGCACGGAGTGCAAGCTTAGGCTGACCAATTTTTTTTTTTTTTTTTAGCTGGTTGGAAAGGAAGGGAAGTGATAATATAAACACAAACTCTAAAATGTAGCTGCCCATAAGCAAAATGTTACACAAATCTGCATAGGAGAACAAGTAATATGACACCACCCAAGTTATGGATATCATTGAAGAGAATATAATTTGCTGTCAACTGCTTTCACTTCTATAAAAAGAAAATTGAGTGCTGGAGCATATTCAGTAAATTCCCAAACTAATTATTGGAAAAAATGGTTAGTTATAGGATTCAGTGGATGTCAGAACCAAATGAGAGAATTATGGCACTTTTAAAAAGTACCATGATCTGCCTTTTGAAATGTTTTCTGTTTTATTTTTTAAATTTTTTTTTTTAAATGATTGGGGTCAGTCTGAAAAATGAGTTTAAAATGCTATCATTACATTATAGAAGTAAACAGCTACAATTTCCATGATGAGTAGTCACTCAACATCTAGCAAAGCAAAGAGCAGAGTTACCAAACAACTGGAAACAACTATACACACACGTTCCATGGAACAGTGAAAAGTCCATATTGAACGTTAACAATAGCACTATCCATTAAAACTGTTCACAGAAATATGTGCAAGTATTCCCTTCACAAGAATTATCCAATATAACTGCTAGGATGTAAGCTTGTTTGGCCAGACAGTCCCACCACTTCTACAAGAAGGAAATGTATAAACTTGGTGCACTTTATTTTAAATAGTTAGGTCTAAACATATTATAATTTCGGTACAATTAGTGGAAATTAACAACGTAGTTCACCTCGGCACCTGTGTATTCACAATAACCAGAGTATGTATTCATACCTCGCAATGGTGCATGCACAATTTGCATAAATGCAATTTAAATTTTAGGATGGCATATCTCATCTGCTCATTCTGGGAGAAAACCAAGCCACTCTCCAATAGAAGAAAGTAAAAATTAAGGGTGGCTACCAGACAGGTAGCACAATGTCCCTGCTCCATTACTATGTCAGGCTACATATAGCATAAGGGGTGGGTGTGTGGTGTATGAAGACGGCTGCACTCTGTTTTTTTTTTTTTTTTTTTTAATAATTTTATTCCAACACCGTTAAAAGATCAATGTTTCAGCCTGTAGATCCTTGCACTCAGGCTGTAAATGAGTCAAATGGCCAGGTGCAATATAAGCTCGGCTTCAATATCCAAGTGTTGTATGAAGACTGATATATCTCTGACATTGTGTGTCTTTCTGGCAGTTGTATCAGTGAGTGTGTCTGTGCAAATGAACGTGGTGTATGTGTGCATGTATCAGTGTGTAGGTCTCCCCCAAAGAAGCAACATGGCTCATTGGTAATATATTATAATTCTACAATATGCATATTCATAAATATTATTCCCCTGCCTGTAACTTCATTATTTGGTAAATGATTCTTTAAAAGCTTTTCAGTGCCACTAAAAAATATTCATTTTCAAAAAATAATGTGCTATCTATACATACTGAAATGAAAAATACAATTAAACATTGCTTCCCAGGATACCCAAAATACTTGAATTCTGGAGGTGTTTTTTTTATGGGGTTTTTTTCATACTGGTAGTGAAGGGGTTAAAATATGGTAACTGCCAAAAGAAAAAAAAACTGAAACGATTCTCCTTCAAATGCCACTTTTTGTTTTAGCTACCTTCTTTCCAATTATAGATGTTGCTTAATTCAATCCTGTAATTTAAAAAGAGTTCTTATTCAGTCATAATGCATGCTACAGTTGGCTCTCCCAAACCAACACAATAAGAACTACACATTTCTAAAATCAGGTATTTACAAAACTGAAAAGGGCTATAAATACATTTTTACTTTGAGAAATGTTCTGTTTATTGTCTGTAGCAGAACACATGCCTGGATATAAATGCATATTTAGTATCTAATAATGCTTTTTGTGAAGTCAGAAACTCCCTGTCACAGGAGTTCGAGTTGAGTGCAGAACAGATTAATTTCTCTGATCCTGGAAGTGAATGAACTGCTTGTGCTTACGTGTCAAATCTACAGAGCAGCAGAGTCTGATGCGGAAGAAAGAGGCAGTCCTGTCACACTCAATGCATCCACACTCAAAATCCAATATTATACAATGAAAAGTTTCACCAGGAAAAAGTCTCAAAGAACCCCCAACTAAAAACCTATTACAGATTATCCATTGGTCCTGCAATGACTGTATATCCCCTTCACCTGCCAAGACCTTTTCATTGAACATTTCACTGAATTCTTCTGCAAGAAGACCTGTCATAGAATTTCTAATAACAAATGCAAAAACCTATGTTTTAGACTTTGCACAACCCCATCAAAACTAAGCACAAAGATATCATGATCTATACTGTACAATAAACATGTAATATTAAATTGCATAAATTATATTTGGGTTATTCTTCCAGCAGATGTTCTCCATATTAAGCCTGTATAGTATGCATATATAAATTGATACATATAGCTAAAGCAAGGCATTGATTGGTAAGAATATTTTAATTTATAGTACCCAGAGAGAGGTGCAGCAATATATGATATACACTATACAGAGAGATGCATTATATGATATACTGTATACACTATACAGAGAGATGCTATATATTATATACACTATACAGAGAGATGCAATATATTATATACACTATACAGAGAGATGCATTATATGATATACTGTATACACTATACAGAGAGATGCTATATATTATATACACTATACAGAGAGATGCTATATATTATTATATACTGTATACACTATACAGAGAGATGCTATATATTATATACTGTATACACTATACAGAGAGATGCTATATATTATTATATACTGTATACACTTTACAGAGAGATGCTATATATTATTATATACTGTATACACTATACAGAGAGATGCTATATATTATTATATACTGTATACACTATACAGAGAGAGCTGCTGCCCCACCCATAGCTCACAGTGCGGCCTAGCTAAGCCAGGCTATACTGACCCCAAAGAAAGCCAGGTGGTGGTCCAGCTCGGGCTCCAGGGCCACCAGGAAGGAGTGAGCCGCTCCCGGTCCCGGGTTGGACAGAGTCACCTCGGCCGTCACTTTGGCGAGATGGCTGCCCAGGTCCACTGTGCGTTTCACATCCTCGTTAATGAGTTCCTGAGCCCGGCAGATGGCGGCCAGGGCTGTGAGGACGAAGATGAAGCGGGTGACAGAGCGCTCCATGGCCGGGAGGTGAAGGATGGAGACGGATTGAAGATACTGCCCAGACCCTGCCTATGGGAGCCTGTGCTGACTATTCATTCATCCGCCAAGCGGGATCAAGATGGCCGCCGAGGACCCCGGGCCTCCAAGCTGCCGGGGTGTCTACACAACTGCCTGACACCTTCACTGACTTCTTTTCACTGCCCCTGTGTATGGTGTGGAGTACTACTTAATACACATTAAAAAAATCATAAGCCTTCAATTTTAAATTTAAATTTATTTTGTGTGCTATTGCCTCATAGTTGATCAGGAAAGCTATGGACACCTGAAACCTCTTCAAGCAATGCGTCCTTAGTTACCACCCTGCTTGTGATGAGCTGGCCCAAGTGGACATCACATCATTCAGCAGAAAGTCTATTTATTATTATTATTATTAATATTAATATTATTATTATTAATATGATGATGTGAAGGCATTGGATTCAAGGCCACAAAATAGTTATCACTCCTTTTGACCCAGTCAGGGTAATTCACCAAAGTGAGAATTTTTGGCAGTGCTAAATTATTTCTACATTTAACCCCTTAAGAACCAAACTTCTGCAATAAAAGGGAATCATGACATGTCATGTGTTCTTATGGGGTTATATTGCATCTGTTATGCACAAAACCACTATTGCTCTTTTATAAAGGGCATCAGCTTCCGTCTATATATTGTCCTATAAAACCCGATTTAAAAATAGATTTTTCTCCCACCTGTCAATTAATTCTTGAGCAAAGACTCTATGTCAAGGGACTGTATTGATAATACACTATTCAGATAACAGCTTGCAGGCAACAAAGCTAGCATATTGGCATCGTGGACAAGGTTTGCCCTGCTTGGGGCAAATCAATGAGGAGACCAGGAAGAGCGCAGGCAGACCAGAAGTGGGTGTTACAGAAGTTTAACACCCATCTTTAATAGGAGATTGTGGCAGGGAATTGGTGGGTCAGGTAAGTGGTGAGATGTTCCCTTTAAGGTCAAGGTAGCTGAACTGAGAGCAATTATATAGCAAGCACACATCATTGAAATAAAGATACATATTCATACACACTGTAGCGGAATGCACTTTTATTCCCCTTTTTCGGCTGTCCGTACTCCCTGTAGCAGAACTTCCACCTTTTGTGTGTTTTCCCCCTATTGTTTTCTGTGGACCACCCCTGTGCCCCATTTGAACATTGACACCAACCACTTAAGTGCGAAACCGAAAAGGAAACAATTAATGAGTGCTTCCCCTGGGTGGCCGCCATTTCGTATAACCGAACACGTGGCATAGAGAATAGCAGCCATCTTGTCTCCCGAACGTGGGCAGCGGTAATTGGTTGTCGAGTGCCTGGAACTCTTTTCGGCAATTTGGTACATTTGGATGGTTCCGAATTTCCTAAGTGCTGAATTTCGGAAGAACTGAACCGAATTCCCGAAGTGCCGAATTTCGGAAGTGCCAAACCGAAGTTCCCAATTTTGGAAGTGCCGAAGTGCTTTGGATTTCTGAAAAGTGGCAGAACAGGAGAGGGAGGGAAAGTTAAAGGAATGACGACAGGAATCTAACCCTACCCTTAACTCTACCCCTAACCTCTAACCCTACCCCTAACCTTACCCTTAACCTCTAACCCTAGTAGGGGTAGGGTTAGGGAATTGCCAAAATCCCGAATTGCCGAAGTCCTGAATTTCAGAAGTGCCGAACCGAACCAAAGTGCAGAATTTCGGAAGTGCCGAAGTGCTTTGGATTTCTGAAAAGTGGCAAAACAGGAGAGGGAGGGAAAATTAAGGGAATGATGACAGGAAGCTAACCCTACCCCAAGCCCTAATCCTAACCCTAACTCTACACCTAACCCTAGTAAGGGTAGAGGTAGGTGTAGGGTTAGGGGTAAAGTTAGGGGTAGGGGCAGGGTTAGGGAATTCCTGAATTCCCAAAGTGCAGAATTCCCGAATTGCAGAAGTCACGAATTTTGGAAGTGCCGAACCGAACCAAAGTGCCGAATTGCCAAAATCACGAATTTCGGACATGCCGAATTTTGGAAGTGCTGAGCCGAACCAAATTTTTTGCCCATGCACATCCCTAATTTAAAATACTCTTTGAGGGGGGAATTGATAGATTAATGCTATTAGGTCATTATTGTAGCTTACAAAGTGCTGTAAGAACCCTTTAACCTTACTCATTTTCATCCATTCTTACCTGTTTCTCATTTTACTAACTCCTTTATTATTTTCATTCACTTTTCCTTGTTTAAATTACTCTGTACTTTAAGAGTGTAATGAAAACACTTCTTTCTTGTATAGCTAGTCATTTATTATTCTGTGAACCGCACTGTAATTCAATGTATGGTGCACCTCTCTGTGTCACTTTAATTACATTTTAAATATGTCATGTTACCTGTTGCTTCTTGTTCCTATGTCCACTATCTGATGTTTCTGTATATGGAGAATAAACAATAAACATGCAAAATAAAAAAACTTAAATTTCTTTTTAACATTGAGTGTTCATTTAAAAAAAATGCTTACACACAAAAGACACACTCAAACTATGTAAATGACTCATGTCTCTCTCCTACTTCCCGAAGTGGGCTACAATTTTCTATAAAGTGAAGATGGGGCGTTGTTACTTAGTAACCCCATTTACTGCAATTCACTCTGTGTTAACAGCTAGCTGCCTACTACCTGCCAGTTTACTAATGGGCCTCTCTTAAAGGAACATGTTAGCTTTAGAAATACAAACATGTATTCCTAATGTTAGAGCAGAGCAGGATTAATTATAAGGTGACTCTAGCAGTTAGACAAGGGCCCCATTAAAGGGACACTCCAGGCACCCAGACCACGTCAGCCCATTGAAGTGGTCTGGGTGCAAACTCCCATCTCCCTTAACCCTGCAAGTGTAATTATTGCAGTTTTTATAAACAGCAATAATGACCTTGCAGGGTTAAGTCCTCCTCTAGTGGCTATCTATCAGACAGCCACTAGAGGGACTTCTGGATTCTTAAAACACGAAAGGTGTTTTAAACTACGCTGGACGTCCTCACACTATGCATGAGGACCTCCTGCATCGCCGGAATCCCCATAGGAAAGCATTGAATAATGATTTTTCTATGGGGAGGTCTAATGAGCACGCGTTGCCATTTCCGAGCATACGCATTGGGTCTCCCCCGCCGGCTGACGTTGGCGGGGAAGGAGCGTGGGCGGAGCCTGACCCAGCGCCGAGGGACATCGGCGCTGGATTCAGGTAAGTCACTGAAGGGGTTTAAACCCCTTCAGCAACATGGGATGGGGATGGGGATGGGAGGGGGGCATTGCAGTCCCTTTAACCAAACCATATATGAATAATGAAGGGTTGGGGGGGTGGCAATATGGTGTCCAACCTAATACCCCATGGGATCTTAATCCTTCTCTGCATTAGAGAGATGTACGGGCTATTTATATGCTTTTGATGACAGAGTAGCTGACAGTGTAGCCTCCATCTTTAAAGCGGCACTGCCGAATTTGCAAAGAACTCCAACATTGACATTGCCACTGGGGGGACTGGGGGAGGCCAGTAAAGGTGAGATTTAATTACCTGAAACTGTTACTCATGGGCGTTGCAATCTTGTTTCAGCGGGTCCTCTTCAGCTCCGATGTCACTGCTATACTTTTCCGCTTCCACTATAGTACAGAATTGAGGTCTATGGAGGAAACCGTAGGATTCTCCTTAGACAGAGCCAATTCCCTGCAGCCATCACTGGTGACAGTTGTAGCTGTAGCTCTGCCCAGAGTCTAAGAAAGTCATTTGAAGGAAATATACAGAGACAAAGTAGCCTCTATTTCGTCTCTCCATATTTCTTGACACGTTTGGAATTTCTGTGAGATGCCAACACAGTGAAAATAAGTATTTAATAAAGATTCTGTCTTTATGAAATACTACTTTTTCAAATGGAAGGGTGACAGTGCTGCTTTAAATCACGTACTGACACATTTGTTTGCTTGCGCTGTGAAATCAGCCACTTACTCACTTGTCAAAAACATTTTGCATATGTGTGTGCTTTGCAACAAATACTTTGTTAACCTGTTCACATTAGGAGAGTCTTGCCCTTTAAACTGGCATTGGACTGCTATTACATGTTATCTGATTTCTTTGTTAATCTTAATCTGTGATTGAATTATATCCTATACATGACAAGTAATAATTAAACCAAATGATTAGCTAAAATGTCTCTGGAGCATAATAATGCTACTGAGAATTTCTATAATTGTTTAGTGGAAGACACAATGGGACATATTCGTTTATGATTAGGATTTAATAGTTTGAAATGTGCAAGACTTGGAGCACCATGCAGTCATCGTCTATGACTGGTATTTCCTTTTCTATCCTGTGATTTGTCTACATGGGAATTTTTTTTTACATTAGAAATTTGTTTTCATTTCAGAGGATTGACTTTGCTATTCGATTGTGTGCTGCAATCACCCATTGTAATCTATGATCAGTATATTTACTAAACTAGGAATTGGTGAGAATTATCAAATAGAAAACTCTAGTTACTGGATATAACAATCCAGTGGTTCGAGTATAACCTGGAACTATAATAATAAAGGTTCAATCTATAAAAAAATGCTTAGATACAAAGAGGTACATAACCTACCCATACCAAACGTCAAAGTAATCCAAATATGAAATAATAAAGACAAAGCCTGTAGGCTATACCTCTCAAACCCTGAACCGTGAATAAAATAAATTAAACCTCAGACTCCTGACTTTATTATTAACAAAGTAGGTCAAAGTCTGTATATAGTAGTAAATAAATATCAATTAGATCACGGATACCAGTCCTAATAACTAAAAAGACAACCTAATGCCTAAAGGATCAATCACTTGTCCTGGCAGCTCTATGATGACAATGTGCTGTTTGTATAGGGAGGATGATTACTAGGATATGTATATCTCCACTTGATATTTAATAACACTATGGAAACATTGTGCTAGATTAAATGCCATACAGGAATAGTAACTGAACAGGTCTCCTAAAATATATCAATGTATTAATTAGTAGCCAGTGAAGGGACTTAAAATGAAAATGTAGAGAAAAATATCTAGTAATTATGTATCTCCTTCAAAGATTACTAATAAGAAGACAGTATAGGACTGGAA